CACAGACATACAATCAGGCAGCACACCAATGCAGTGAATAAATAAATCATTAAAAATGTTTAAAAAAGAGGAAAGAAGGAGAAAGGGTCAAAACAGAACATATAGGTTTGATACAAATTCCCTCAGAAAGTGCCCCATGCTCACTGGCCGTGACACCCATGGGGACCCGAGGCAGCAGGACAGTGGGGTCTGTGCAGGGACAGTCCTCTGCAGCCATGTCTCTGAGTCTGGTGGCCAGTTCTACCCCACCTCACCAATGTAAGAGCAGGAGGCCAAAGGTCTGGTAGGAGGAGGTTAGGAACATAGTTCTGTGGTGGAGTGCTTGTCTAGACTATTCCAGCCGCTGGCTACAATAGTTAATACAAAAACCATTTCTTTCCTACCTCACATCCCACCAAGGTTGAAAGCCATCATTTCTATCTCCCTTCTGGACCAACTTTCATGTTAACATATAGATATGTAGATGGATGTGTGGGGATATATATATATATATATATATATATATATATATATATATCCATATATATATGGACTAAAAATGATTGCTGGCACGTATGATGTCCATGTACATAAAGATTGCTGAATCTCACCATGAGAAGTTCAATATAGCCATGGTCTCCTCTTTCTAGACGATACAACCAAGGTTGGTTGACATGACGGGAAACTGAGGTTTGCTGACCTTTCTGTGAGTCCCACTGATAAGGTACTCTCTGCTTTATAGGAAGGTGTCAGTAAAGCCTTGAGGTGCAGAGTGACCGGGAAGGACAGGTGCCTGGTCACCTTCCTGCTTTCATGGGAAGTCTTCAGACTCCTCACAACCAACATCGGAAGCTTTGAGTAAGCTGTGAATCACTCTTAGTGTCAGACCCATCACAGGTCCCTCAGAAAACACCCTTAAAGTGTCCTCCCTGCTGTATGCTAGATTTTTAAAACATTGAAAAAAATCTCTCATATCTAATGGTACTAGCCTACACGCCCATTGATAGATGAATGGATACAGACAATGTAGTATATACACACAATGGAGTTTTCTTTAGCAGTAAAAGAAGGTGAAATTAGGTTATTTGCAGAAAAAAATGGGTGTAACTAGAGGTCATCACTGTCTTAGTTAGGGTTACTATTGCTGTGATGGAACACCATGACCAAAGCAACTTTGGGGGGAGAGGGTGTATTCAGCTTACACTTCTGCAGCACTGTTCATCGTCAAAGGAAGCGAGGACAGGAACTCAAACAGGGCAGGAACCTGAAGGCAGGAGCTGATGCAGAGGCCATGGAGGGGTGCTGCTTACTGACTTACTCATCAAGGCTTGTTCAACCTGCTTTCTTACAGAACCCAGAACCACCTGCCCAGGGAGGGCACCACCCACCATGGGCTGGGCCCTCCCTCATCAATCACTAATTGAGAAAATGCCCCACAGGCCTGCCGGCTGTCTGGTCTTATGGGACGTTTTCTTATCTGAGGTTCCCTCCCTTCAGATGACTTTAGCTTGTGTCATGGTGATATAAAACTATCCAGCACAATCTTGTTGAGTGAAATAAGCCAGGCTCAGAAGACAAACACTCGTTTTTTCTAATATGTTAAATATAGATATATACATATATTCATATACACATATATGGAATGGAAATAAAAGGGGAACTGTTTAGGTGGGAGCCCAATCGGCATCTGTATATACTCCCCAAAAGGTTGGGATGTTGGGGATCTTCCCTGGAGCTGCTCTCTCCAAACCCTGCCCCTGAGAAAGCCCACCATGCAGCTGTTCCACCCCTGGAGGGTATTTAAGGTCCCGCCCAAGACTTCCCTGTGAGGTTTTCCTTCATGGCTTCTCCTCTTCCCCTGGGACCTCCCAGGAGTGCTCTGATCAGATTAAACCTGGACTTAATTCGGCCTGATCTGTCTTATTACATCATCGGCGTTACTCACCATCAGCGGTTTAAACTTTTCAGGAAGCATGAGTGGAGGGAAGAGGGAGATTTCTAAAGGAGGATGGGGCGGGGGGGGTACTAGGGAAGGGAGAAAGATAAAATACCAGTTCTTTCATCTATAGGATCTAGATTTAACTTTGTGGTGTGTCTAAGATGATTAGGTCTTCATTGTCAGCACAACTGGATTGAATCACCCAGGAGACACACTTTTGGGAATGTGTTTGAAGGTGTTTCCAGAAAGGTCTCACTGGAGCAAAGAAGACCTACCCTGAATGTGGGGCAGTACCATCACATGGGCTGAATAAAAAAAGAAAAAAAAAAAGAGGTATTAATTACTTGTCTGTTGCTGTGATATAACACCATGACCAAGGCAAACTACAGAAGAAATGGTTTATTAGGACTTAGGATTCCAGAGGGTTAGAGTCCATGAAGGTAGAGAGATGGCTCACATCTTGACCCAAGCACAAAAATGGAGAGACAGATCTGGCAATGGCTTGAGTCTTTAAACTCTCAAAGCCCGCCTCTGGGGACACCTTCCTTCAACAAGACCATTCCTCTCCAGCCTTCCTAAATAGCACTGCCAAGTGGGGACCGGGCATTCAAATGCCTGAGACTATAGGGGACATCTCTCCTTCTTCCACCACAAAAGTCAACTGATGCTGGCATCCCTTTCTCTAAAGCTTCCTGACCTGTCGGATGCAAGCAAGTTCCTGTGTCAGTAACTGTACCTTCAAACTGTAAGCCAAAACAAATCCTTCCTCCCTTAAGTGTTTCCAAAAGTCGTTTCATTTCTAAACTAAAATTAGAATGGAAAATCTTTTTTAGAGATGAGATTATCATTCAGTGGTAGACCACTTGCCTTGAATGCACAGGTTCTGGGTTCAATTCCCAGCACAGAGAGAGAGGGTGAGAAGCACTCTAAAGAGACTCTAATTTTTTTTTTTTTTTTTTGAGTTTTTGAGACAGGGTTTCTCTGTGTAGCTTTGCGCCTTTCCTGGGACTCACTTGGTAGTCCAGGCTGGCCTCGAACTCACAGAGATCCGCCTGGCTCTGCCTCCCGAGTGCTGGGATTAAAGGCGTGCGCCGCCACCGCCCGGCTGAGATTTTAATTTTTAATGTTAGATTTAGTATTAGCAAGCAGCTAGTTCTACATCTGAGGACTGTTGGTGTGATAATGTTTAAGGGGCCTGAGAACAGCCAGTCCATGTCTATGCCAGGCAAAGACCCCAGTGGTCCCATGTGAACTTTTGAAAATGCAATACTGGGCTGGGCGGTGGTGGCACACGCCTTTGATCCCAGCACTCGGGAGGCAGAGGCAGGTGGATCTCTGTGAGTTCGAGGCCAACCTGGGCTACAGAGTGAGTTCCAGGACAGGCTCCAAAGCTACACAGAGAAACCCTGTCTCAAAAAACCAAAAAAAAAAAAAAAAAAAAAAAAAAAGAAAGAAAGAAAAAAGAAAATGCAATACTGGGCTGGGGTGCTTGCCTAACAAGTATGAAGCATGATGTGAAGGATATTTTTTTTTCTCTTTTCCTGGTGAATTGGTCCACACAAGAATTTCTTCTTGTAGGAGGTTGGAGAGATGGCTCAGTGGTTAAGAATATTGATAGTTCTTCCAGGAGACCAGTACCCATGTGTTGACTCCCAACTGTCTATAACTCCAGTTCCAGGGCATCTGAGGCCTTCCATCTTCTGGCCTTCCTAGGTACCAGGCATACATATCAGACTTACGTGTAGGCAAAACACTTACATATAACATAAAATATAGTTTACAAAAAGAAAAAAGAGCCAACCAGTGATGCCTGCCTATAAAGCTAGCACTTGGGAGGCGAAGGCAGTAGGATCGTGAGTTTGAGGCTACGTACATTTCAGCCAAAGCTACACAGCATGACCCTATCTACAGAATTTTCAAAAATCAAAGTAGGGCATGTAGTTCGGTATTTTTGTACTGGCGGAGAAAGCCGACTCCGGCACCACTGGAAGCAGGCAAGCACATCCTCTGCTGCTTTTCCTCACATTGTAAGAATGCGGCTCACTTCTTCCTGGTATTCATTAGCTATGCAAATCATCTCCTTTGGATAAATATGCTTTGGAAGTAACAAACATTTTAACTAACTATCTTTCTAATGTATGTTATGAAAATAACTTAAGTGAAGATAAACATTTATAGCTTCTCTTTATCAGGGCGTATGCTGCTGACCTCTAAGGAGGGCAACACGTTTCACTTAGCCTCATCAATGCTCCTCTCTTTCCTGTCCTATTGTGCTCTGCCCGCCATTCTCTGGGTTCAGCCCCGCTGAGATTGTTAGCACACACAGATTCCAGTTACATAATCCTCGGGGAAAGAAACCTTTAAAGATTCTTTTATGCAGGCACTAAGCATGATTTAAGGAGGATTAATCATTGGCTGATTTGATTACCAGGCACCAACTATTCTTTCCAGGATGTATAACTGAAACACTGTCTTTCAGCTGCAAAAGGATATTGCTCATGATATATAGATGAAAATGAAAAATGGGCTCCTAACCAGGACATTATGAATGCTCGTGATGAATTTGAATCTGAACATAGTAGAACCCTTTCACACTTCAGAGCAATTGAAATGTCAAATAATTCCTCAAGTATAATGTGTAGTTTGTTAATCCCTGAGAGAGTCTTCATGCTCTCTGTGTGAGGGGGCAGATGGAATTGGGACACAGTGATGGTGAGACAGGAACACTTACCCAGAACCATGTCCCCTCCTAGAGGTCCTGCCCACAGTGCTGTCTCAGCACCAGAAGGGTCAGCGGAGCACACAGTCAATTCACTAGTGAATTTCAAGGGCCATGGTGACTAAGGACTGAGCAAGGTCAGGGGCTGGGAATTTTCTACCAAGTGTGGAATCAGAGACAATGATGCACTTAGAATGAGCTGCTGATTAATTACATCGGTAATGATACTGCTCATGGATCAATTTTTAAGAGGGAATCCCATCATTCTGTCCCAAGAAAAATATGGTAAAAAGCTCCATCAGGTATTCTCCAAAGAGAAAGCTTAAAAAGCAAGTGAAGTAATGAGAAATGTCCAACCTCACAAATGGCTAATAAAATCCAAAGTAGCTGGGTGGTGGTGGCGCACGCCTTTAATCCCAGCACTGGAGAGGCAAAGGTAGGCAGATCTCTGAGTTCGAGGCCAGCCTGGTCTACAGAGTGAATTCCAGAACAGCCAGGGCTACACAAAGAAACCCTGTCTTGAAAAACCACAAAACAACAACAAGCAAACAAACAAAAAACTAAGTAGTAAAATAAACTTTCCTTGTCCATTCAGCACGACAAGTTCCCTGCCCCAATGAAAATGCTTAGTTTTTGCAAAGACTTTGGAAATGTGTAAACATATTATGTGTTATTGGTGGAATAAATGGTGTGTTACCCAGCTTTTCACCACAGAGACAAGGACCAGAAAACGATTAAAAGAGGAAATTTGGCTTATGGCTTCAAGCCAGCCCATGGTCTCTTGGCTCTGTTACTCCCCCTGTGGCAAAGAAGGCAAGATGTAATGGTGGGACATGTGTGGTGGAGTGACAGCAAAGCTGCTAACTCAGGGTGGCAAGAAGGAGACAGACAGACAGACAGACAGACAGATAGGTAGATAGATAGATAGATAGATAGATAGAGAATGCATAGACTACACCCTGAAAGGGAATGCCTGTGTCCTGCTCCCTTCAACTCCATCTCCTCAGGAACCATCACCTCCCAATAGTCCATTCAGTTTCAGACCCATCTATACATTACATCGATGGGGTCAGAGGCCTCAGTCTTAACCTTTGAATATAGATACTGTTTCTTTTTCTGTTGCTGTAATAAAATATGATGACAGAGCAAGGGAAGGGAGAAAAGACTTCTTTTGACTCATGGTTCCAAGGGGATTCAGTCCGCCATAGTAGGAAAGCCATGACGTAGGGAGCAGGAGGCTGACTAGTCACGTGGTATCTGAAGTGAAGACGAAGAGAGAGTGGGGAGTGGGGCCAATCCACACAGCCTCAAGGCCTGCCACGATGAACCGCTCCCTCCAGCCAGGCTCCACTTCCTGAAGGTTTCACAACCTCTCCAAACAGCACCATCCCTGGGGACAAGGTGTTCAAAGTGAGCATGTGGGGGACATTTCATATTCAAACTGCAACAGCTGTATTGGGGGCCCAACCTCCACCTGAGTCTCCAGCGGGTAGTCCAGATCGGGGTCTTTCCCACAGGGTGTTTGCTACCTAGACTTTTCTAGCAAAAAGATGAACAACATGATCATCATGGTCAGTTTCAGCTGTCAAGTTGACATGACTCAGGGTCGCAAGGGAGGGGGGACCCTCAATAGAGGAATTGCCTGGATTGTATTGGCCTCTGGCAGTATCTGTGAGGCATTTTCCTAATGGCTAATTGAGGTAGGTTAGTCCAGGCAAGTGTTGGTGGAGCCTTCGTGGGCATGGGCTGTATAAGAAAGGAAGCTGGCCACGAGCCTGGACAGCAAGCCAGTAAGCTGTGTTCCTCCTTGGTTCCTGCTTCGGCTCCTGCCTCTGGAGTCCCTGCCTTGAGTTCCTGTGCTAGCTTCCCTTGATGACCCAGAAGCTGAAAGAAACCCTTTCCCCTTCAAGTTGGCTTTGGTCAGCACTTTCCCACAGTCACAGAAACCGGCTAGGAGGTAGGAGGTGTGTCCTGTACACCGTGGTTCTGTGCACCATACAGAAGAGCAGATGCTTCTCCTCAGTGCAGAGAATCACGTCAACCAACCTCACTGTCATTAGTAATGGAAAATCTGTGTGTTGAGGGAAAGAATGTGTAGCTAAGTTGTGCTCATTGAAATCTCCCTTCCTTCCCTCTCCCTCCCTCCATCCCTCCCTCCATCTCTCTCTCCTTCCTTCCTTCCTTTTTTTGAAGCATGGTCTCAATGTAGCCCAGACTAGCCTCAAACTCACTATGTAGTCAAGGACGGTCTTGAACTTTGGACTCTCCTGCCCATGTCTCCTGAATACTGGGATTTCAGATGAATACTGTCATGCCCAGTTTGTGTTGGAGATGGAGCTGTGGGCTTCATACACACCAGGCAAGCACTTATCCCCAGCTCCACATGTTTTCTTTTTCTTTTCTAAAATCCGAGATCTCATGTAGCCCAAGCTGGCCTTGAATCACTGCCTAGTGAAATATGACCTTGAACTCCTGATGCTCCTGCCTTTGCCTCCTAAATTCTGAGGTTTATAGGTGTGTGCCACCACTCAGCTGAGATTTTTCTGATTATAAAAATAAGATATTGTCACTGTATTGGGAAAGAGGAAAACCAGTAAAAAGTATGATGTTGCAAATTAAAAAGACTCATGGTCCTGTCTTCATTTTTCAGTATTTATTCCCTCCCTGAGAGTCCTCACAGCTCTTGGCTATCCTAGGGTCAGGAAACAGCAAACCAAACCAAACAAACAAACAAAAACCCCTGCTACTTTGGATAGCACTTAGAAAAGAATAGGCACATTATTTACCTCCTTGTTGTTTATATCTTTGGGGAAGAATTACTTTCCATAAATACTAAGTAACAAGTCAGTAAACACATAAGCTTATATAAGCACTCCTCTGCCCTCCTCCATAGGGAGTGCTTTGAAATTGGTGGTTGATGAGCAGCTCAGGGATGAAAACTGTCCTTGGGATGTAGACTGCATGGTCTTCTGATTCTCTGTGAGTCTCTGCCCGCAATCCTTACGTGTCTGGATTAATGCTATAACAAGGCTTAGCGCTGTCCCTCAGATTCAACTACTCAGAAGGACTGCTGCCCATCTGATGAAGATTCCCTCAGTCCCCTGAAGACCACATAGCTGCCACACAGATGTATATGTCTACAAAATTCAGAGATATAATTGGTTTTTTTTTTTTTTTTACCAATGGAAAAATAAACAGTGCCAGCATCCCAGAGAGATGGCCCGCTCAGCATGTTTATTACGTCCATGTGTTATTACTATTCACAGGAGCTGAGGTGTGGAATTGCCTGCGTGCCCATCAGCGGAAGACTGGAGGAAGCAGATGTGATACACACAGTAGGGCTGTGTTCAGCCATAAACAATGAAGAGTATGGAGTCCAGGAGGGCGAGAGGGGGTGAATTAAAACAAAGTACTGTGATACACACACTCCTAGACCTCAGGAGGCAGAGGCAGGTGGATCTCTGTGAGTTCTAGGTCCACATAGGAATTTCAGGACAGCCAGGGCTATATAGTGAGACCATAACTCAAAAAAAAAAAAAAAAAAAAAAAAAAAGGCTGAGAATTTTATCATTTGCAGAAAATAGATAGAACTGGAGATCGTCGTGTTAAGTGAAATGAGCCAGATTCAGAAAGATTGAATATCACATGTGCTTTTTCTCCTATGCAGAATCTAGGTGTGCGTGTGTGTGTGCGTGTGTGTATGTGTGTGTGGTGAAAGTAGACTGGAGACTATCTATCTGGGAGAAGGAAGGAGGCAGCAGAAGGCAAAAGAGGAAAGAGAGGGTGAGTATGAGCAGAGCCCACGGTATGCATGTGTGAAGATTTCGCCACCAAACTCATCATTTTATGCTATTTAAAAAACTTATGTAAGAAAAACTAATAAAGAGGTACGAACTTAACTGCTTACCGGAAGTACTTCCTCCTGGTGTGCATGAGCAGCTGTGGCTGTGCCCTCTGTGACTTCCTGCTTGGATGATCCTGGGAGAGACAGCCCCCAGGTTTCTGCACCGCTTGTAGATCCACAGCTTGAGCTTTGGCCCAGTGACAGCCAGGTGCTCAGCGGCTTCTCCTCCTACTATCCGTTATGTCAGTCTGAGGATTGGTGTCACGTGACCTGGGTCCCCAGAACCCAAGCCCAGCTCCCTCCCTGTTAATGCACAGTCAAGCATTACTCTGCTAACATAAAATAGTCTTCGGCATCAAGCTTTCTGTGGATAGAACTAGCCTGTTTTTTTCCCTTACAGCACCCCCGGGCCTCTAATGAGACCACTTCTGGCAATCTCTAGCATTTCCTTTTGCTAGAGCATGAGTCACCTCTAGAAGCTTCTGACTGAGAACACTGTGTGATGTAGAGTTCAACATCCCTCCATCCTGATCTTTGTTCTCCCAAGGCACCTTAGGAAGAGCTGGAGAGAGTGATGGTGAAAATCCTCCATGCTGTGCTACAGAGGAAGGCACACCTTCGTCCGGTTTAGGTTTCTGAGATAGAGTCTCACTATGCAGTCCTGGGTAGCCTCGAACTATGAAGACTCACAGAGAACCCTGTCTTTCGAGTGCTAACACTCAAGGCATGCACTACTGTGCTCAGCTCAACTCTTATCCATTAGAAAGTCTATAAAACGTGATGTGTCTCCTCTTTTTTTTTTTTGTTTGTTTGATCTTTTAAGACAGGGTTTCTCTGTGTAGCTTTGCGCCTTTCCTGGAACTCACTTGGTAGCCCAGGCTGGCCTCAAACTCACAGAGATTTGCCTAGCTCTGCCTCCTGAGTGCTGGGATTAAAGGCGTGTGCCACCACTGCCTGGCAATGCGTCTCCTCTTTTTCCTAGCCTTCTCCTTGGCCTCAAGGGAGGTTGTTTAGCCCCGGGTAACTGGTGGGAGTGGAGGCTTGGAGAGAGAGAGAAGGGGGTAAGTAATGTCCAGCATGGGGGAGGGCAGGGAGGGTTGAGGGTGTATGTGTGCAGAGCTCCTTCAGTGCTGGTTCAGTACCTCAGCAGTCACAGCTATAAATGCGTGCTGGAGGCATGCCTCCTCCCTGCCCCCTGCCCCACCCTACCCTCACTGAAGGCAGCGCTGGGTAGGTATATTGGTATACAGCACTGTCACAGCAGTCTTCCATGGGAGGTACTCACAGCCTCATGCTCTGCACCAGCAGGACTTGGGCACAGATGATCTCTCTCACCCTTGCTGTTCCCAAGACCTGATTAGACTTGGCGGGTACAACATGGGCCTTAAGGTGAGCCTGTTGATATGAGTCATCCTAAAGTAATAACAGTACAACCAAAACTAAATCAGTGGGCTAGATTTAACCACGGCTACTCTGGTGGTTTGAAAGAAAATGGCCCCCAAAGGGAGTGGCACTATTAGGAGGCGTGGCCTTGCTGGAGTAGGTGTGGTCTTGTTGGAGGAAGTGTGTCACTGTGAAGGTGGGCTTTGAGGTATCATATGATGCTCAAGCCATGTTCAGTATGACAGATCACTTCCTGTTGCCTGCAAGATGTAGAACTCTCAGCTCCTTCTCCAGTGCCATGTCTGCCTGCACGCCACATGTCACACCATGATGATAATGGACTGAACTTCTGAAACTGTAAGCTACCACCCCAATTAAATGTTTTCTTTATAAGAGTTGCCATGGTCATGGTGTCTCTTCACAGCAATAGAAACCCTAACTGAGACAGCTACCATATATAAAGATTTTCAGAAAAAAAAATTGTATTTGGGCTAATAATGTATTTCATTTCAAGTCAAAAAGCTCTGAAATCCTATTTCCTGAATATGTAATTATAACATGTTAAGTATCCAAGGGTAGAAGCTACATAATAACTATATTGTTCTTTAGAATAGATTCCCAGATAACTTGCTTGCTTACTTTTTGAGACAGGATTTCAGGTAGCCCTGAAGGGTCTCAAGCTCACCATGTAGCTGAGGATGACCCAGAACCCCTGATCTTTCTGTCTCCCCCTTCAGAGTTCTGGGATTGCAGACATAGCCACCATGACCAGTCTCTGTGGTACTGAGGATTGAATCTAGGGCCTTGTGTATCCTAGGCAGGTACAATATCAACTGAGCACTATCTCCAGAATCAGCAGATTTGGTTGAAGGGTTTTTTTTTAAATGCCTCTTCTTCATGCATATGTGTGTGAGATGTGTGTGTGTCCACGTGTGCCATGTGTGCACTTGTTACCAATGCTAAGCGTGTTTAGCTGGTCCATCAATATTTGTACTTTCATGGTTGTTTTTATTTTATGTGTATTGCTATTTTGCCTCCACATTTGTCTGTGTGAGGGTGACAGATCCCTTGGAACCAGAGTTACAGCCAGTTGTGAGCTGCTATGTGGGTGCTGAGAATTGAACCCGTGTCCTCTGGAAGAACAGCCAGTGCTCTTAACTGCTGAGCCATCTCTCCAGCCCCACAGACTGACTTGTTTTGTTTTTTTTTTTTTTTTTTTTTTTTTTTTTTTTTTTTTTTTGGTTTTTTTTCGAGACAGGGTTTCTCTGTGTAGTTTTGGAGCCTATCCTGGAACTCACTCTGTAGACCAGGCTGGCCTCGAACTCAGAGATCTGCCTGGATCTACCTCCAGAGTGCTGGGATTAAAGGCATGAGCCATGGCTGCCCAGCCTCTTTCATGGTTGTTGTCATGGAGATATGAAGGGCCAGCTCTGGGTCTACCTGTGGTTTGTTTGTCTCAGGTCTCCATGGAGTGTGGTGGGGGGTTGGGGGTGGGGGGTGGGGGGTGGGAGGTGGTGTTGATGTCGGAGGAATCCTGCTGCTTTCGTGGTTTTCTGACAACTTTCCGTGGCTCAAAGTAAAGCCTCTGTAATTCTAGAGGTGCAGAAGTGTCAGACCTTTGGAGACTACCAGCGCCTACTCTGATGAGCTCAGTAAATGGTGTCTGAGAAGTGAGGTGGCTTGGCATGCAAAGCTGAGTGACAGCTGGCCGCAGGGGCCCTGCTTCCCGACTCTGACTCCTCTGGTGCCACTGTAGAGCGGCTCCTAGACCTTCCTGGCTGGAGTAGAGAGTCACCAGTCTGTGCATGTGGTAGAGAGCAGGGTAAGCTTTAAACACTACAGTCCCTTCACTTTTTTAAAGCCGCAGTCAGGGCTTGGTTTTTCAAAGCCATCTACCACTGGAGGTCAGGCCGGTGTAGGAGATGGCAGCTCTGCGATTCCTGCACTGTGGCGTGTCACCACTAGGTGGCATTATCCTGATCCTCTCCCTCTGTCCCCTAACTTCTCAGGGTGCCTGATCTACCCTGTCCCTCTCAGCCTAGCCTGCAGATGTGGAGAAGGCATGGTTTCATGTCAGGCGTCTGACCACCTTGGTCTTGGCTCACATCAAACACGCGGACGGGGCTGGTGAGAGGACTCCATGGGTAAAGATGCTTGCCACGAAAGCTAGGTGACCTGAGTGCCGTCCTGGGAGCCCAATTAGAGGGAGAAGAGAATAATGACTCCACACGGTTCTCCCCTGACTTCCACATGTGCACCCAAGCAGGGGTAAAGAATGTGCAGCTGTGTGTGGTGTGTTGATGCACACCTGTAACCCCAGTACTCAGGATGTGGAGGCAGGAGGATCAGAAGTTCAAGTCATCCTCAGCTATACTGAGAGTGCAAGACCAATCTACATAAGACCCTATCTTGAAAGAAACAGTCATGAACCTAATTTTAAACAGGCAGAATTAAAAACAGGGAAATCAATGAGAAAGGAAAACCTCCCAGGCTATCACAAATTAAGATGTCTGCTGGTGACAATTTTGATGAAGATGTGGAGGGCACAGAGTGCCAGGAAAACTATATGTAACAAACACATTGGAGAGGATATGGAAGCCCAGCTAAGCGCTCTGAAATTGCGGGGAGGCAATTGCAAGAGTGATGTTATTTATAATAGCCCGAACAACAAAAATGATAATCAGAAATATCCTATTTTTTTGGCAAGAGAAAAAAAATATAGCTATTGGAATAGTTATTTTTGGGTCACGATGACCAAAATATCTGGCAGAAACAGCTCAAGGAAGGAGAAAGATTTCTTTTGCTTCAGTTTTAGGAGCAAAATTTCAAGTCCACCACAGGGAAGGAATAGTGGCTGGGCAGCTCTGTCTGTGGTGGCAGGGGATGTTCTGAGGGCTGCAACATGGAAGGCAGGGTCTGACCAGAGCCTGAGCCGGGCTACAGACTTCAAAGGCATGCCTCCCTCTAGTGGTGACCTACTTCCTCCAGCCGGGCTCGACCTCGGAAAGGTTCCAAAAGGGTGCCAACCGCTGGAGACCAGGTCCTCCAACTGGAAACCGTAGAGACTATTCTAGATCTGTATTCTAGAACACTCTAGATCTATAGCATCGCAGCCATGCACAGGACCGTGCATAGCATGGAAAGTGAATGAAATGCAGTTTACACAACGGTGAAGAAGATGGGTGGAAACGCACACAGCTGGGTACTCACGTGAGGAGGGTCAAATGATGCTCCACACGGCTTTGGGATTCAGACACAGCGCACCGTGATTCCTTAGTGTCTTCCCATTTATCACAAAACACCCCGACAAAAGCAACTGGGAGAAAATAAGAAAATAACCCATGGGCTGGAGAGATGGCTTAGTGGTTAAGAGCACTGACTTCTCTTCCAGATGGACCCTGGTTCAGTTCCCAGCACCCACATGGCAAATCACAACTGTCTATAACTCCAGTTCCTGAGACCCAACACCCATGGCAAAACACCAATGTATGTGAAATAAAAATAAATAAATTTAAAATATTTTTTTAAAAAAGAAAGGAAATAATCCTTTCTTGGAGAAAAATTATTTTGGCTCACGGTTCAAGCCACAGTTCCTCATGTTGGGGAAGTAAGCTGGTGAGAACTTGAAGCAGCTGGTCACATGACAGAGTCCTCAGTCAGAAGGAGCCCAGCTCACTGTCTCCACTCACACCATCAGGTTCTGCCTACAATTAAGAGGGATCTTCCTGGGCCGGGCGATGGTGGTGCACGCCTTTAATCCCAGCACTCGGGAGGCAGAGGCAGGCGGATCTCTGTGAGTTTGAGGCCAGCCTGGTCTACAGAGCGAGAGCCAGTACAGGCACCAAAACTACACAGAGAAACCCTGTCTTGAAAAAAAAGATGAATCTTCCCACATCAATTAACACAATCAAGCCAATTCCATGCTGGTGTGCTCAGAGACACCTTTCCCAGGTGAGTCAGGCTGCTGTCATTGACAGTCAATGCTAACCATCACAGATGATTGACAGTCAATGCTAACCATCACAGATGATTGACAGTCAATGCTAACCATCACAGATGATTGACAGTCAATGCTAACCATCACAGATGATTGACAGTCAGTGCTAACCATCACAGATGATTGACAGTCAATGCTAACCATCACAGGTGATGACTTCTGTGTTTTGACTCTGAGAATCCTTTTTTGGAGGGGGAGAGTGGGAAGGTGAAGCTCTCAGCTCCTCTCCCCACTGTGGGCCCTTGCATCTGCCCTGAACTGGGCAGCAGCATCCCGAGGTTACACTTGCTGTGCCCACACAGAGCTCCCACTGTCCCTCTCAGAAACAGGGTGATGCTATGCAAGTGCCAGTAGCTTTGTGGTGCACCTCAATTGCTGCATGATCTCCTCTTGGTTCCGTCCTGCGGGAATCAGCAACACAGAATTCTTGGAGCGTAGGAATGAAAAGGACAGGCTGAAACTTGAGAACTGAAACTCTGAACAGGAGATGGAGCAGGGATGTCATGAGGTGAGGAATGTTGTCGGTCGGGAGGACTCAGGTTTGAGGACAGGCTCTGGTGGCTGGTGAGAGAGGAAGAGATGGAGGAAAAACTGAATGCCTCCCGGAGACCACCAGCAGGGAACACTGACAGGTCACAGGCAGGGAAACACTGAGCAGTTCAGATCAGCGATGTCACAGCTGCCATAGGGAGTACCACCCTAACAAAGGAGGGCTGTGAGCCTGACAGATGCTGAAAGCCTGGGTTCCAGCATGCACTGGGACTAGACCAGAGCTCCCCACAGACCCACAAGAAGCTTCTCTGGGGAGAATGGAGTGGACAGGTGGCTAGGAGAACTGCCACCCCCAGGAGGCAGTGGTTCAGGGAGGGTCTTGAGGAAGCCAAGATTCTCAGAGGTCTGTTGGCAGAGGATGAAGTCTAGTTGCTGAGAAAGCAGGGGGAGCCTGAGCGTAAATACACTGCCATGAAGAAGTCCTGGGAGCCGCACAGTGAGAAGGTTCCTGCTGGAGCCTGCCTGGATGAATGTCTACATGGTGTCTCAGGAGGCTTGTTAATCGCAGCTCTAGGATCAGAAGTTCAAGATCATGGGCAGAGACGGCTCACCAGGAGAAGCAGGTTGCCAATCATGACTACCTAAATTTGAGCCCTAGAACCCACACAATGGAAGCAGAGAATGACTGACTCCAAGTTGTCCTCTGATCTCTACAGGCTTGCTTTAGTATATGCGTGCTAATGTATACACACCCCACACACACATGCACTAAATATATGTGCAAGTCATATGTTCAGTCATTCTTAGCCACTTAACAAGTGTGTGGCTAGCCTGGGCTACATAAGGTCTTGTGGTGGAGATCAGTCCTCTGTCAGATGTGGGGTTGGTGGAGATCTTTTCCCATTTTGTAGGCTGTCTTTTTGTCTTATTGACCATGTCTTTTGCCCTACAAAAGCTTCTCAGTTTCAAGAGGTCCCATTTATTAATTGTTGTGCCCAGTGTCTGTGCTGCTGGTGTTATATTTAGGAAGCGATCTCCTGTGCCAATGCGTTCAAGAGTACTTCCTACTTTCTCTTCTATTAAGTTTAGTGTAACTGGATTTATGTTGAGGTCTTTGATCCACTTGGACATGAGTTTTGTGCACGGTGACAGATATGGATCTATTTGTAATCTTTTACATATTGACATCCAGTTATGCCAGCAACATTTGTTGAAGATACTTTCTTTTTTCCATTGTATAGTTTTGGCTTCTTTGTCAAAAATCAGGTGTTCATATGTGCATGGATTAATGTCAGGGTCTTCAATTCGATTCCATTGGTCCATATGTTGGTTTTTATACCAGTACCAAGCTGTTTTTTATTACTATAGCTCTATAGTAGAGCTTGAGGTCAGGGATGGTGATGCCTCCAGAGGTTGCTTTATTATACAGGATTCTTTTAGTTATCCTAGGTCTTTTGTTTTTCCATATGAAGTTGAGTATTTTTCTTTCCAAATCTGTGAAGAATTGTGTTGGGATTTTGTTGGGGATTGAATTGAATCTGTAGATTGCTTTTGGTAAGATTGCCATTTTTACTATGTTAATCCTACCTATCCATGAGCATGGGAGATCCTTCCATTTTCTGATATCTTCTTCAATTTCTTTCTTTAGAGATTTAAAGTTCTTATCAAAAAGGTCCTTCACTTATTTAGTTAGTGTTATCCCAAGGTATTTTATCTTATTTGTGGCTATTGTAAAGGGTGATGTTTCTCTGATTTCTTTCTCAGCCCTTTTATCATTTGTGTATAGGAGGGCTACTGATTTTTTTGAGTTGATCTTGTATCCTGCCACTTTCCTGAAGGAGTTTATCAGCTGTAGGAGTTCCCTGGTAGAATTTTTGGGGTCACTTATGTATACTATCATAGCATCTGCAAATAGTGAAAGTTTGACTTCTTCCTTTCCAATTTGTATCCCTTTGATCTCCTTTTGTTGTCTTATTGCTCTAGCTAGAACTTCAAATACTATATTGAATAAATATGGGGAGAGTGGACAGCCTTGTCTTGTTCCTGATTTTAGTGGAATCACTTTGAGTTTCTCTCTGTTTAATTTGATGGTGGCTGTTGGCTTGCTGTAAATTGCCTTTATTATGTTTAGGAATGTTCCTTGTATTCCTGATCTAAGATCTTTATCATAAAGGGGTGTTGGATTTTGTTAAAGGCTTTTTCAGCATCTAATGAGATGATCATATGGTTTTTTTCTTTCAGTTTGTTTATATGGTGTATTACATCGACAGATTTTCATATGTTGAACCATCCTTGCATCCCTGGGATGAAACCTACTTGGTCATGGTGGATAATTTTTTTGATGTGTTCTTGGATTCAGTTTGCCAATATTTTGTTGAGTCTTTTTGCATCAATGTTCATTAGGGAGATTGGTCTGTAATTCTATTTCTTTGTTGCATCTTTGTGTGGTTTGGGTACCAGGGTAATTGTAGCCTCATAAAAAGAGTTTGGTAATGCTCCTTCTGTTTCTATTGTGTGGAACAATTTGAAGAGTATTGGAACTAGTTCTTCTTTGAAAATCTGGTAGAATTCTGCACAGAAATCATCTGGTCCTGGGCTTTTTTTGGTTGGGAGACTTTTTATGACTGTTTCTTTCTTTAGGGGTTATTGGTCTATTTAAATAGTTTATCTGGTCTTGATTTCACTTCAGTATGTGGTATCTATCCAGAAAATTGTCCATTTCTTCCAGATTTTCCAATTTTGTAGAGTACAGGTTTTTGAAATATGACCTGATGATTCTCTGGATTTCTTCGTTGTCTGTTGTTATGTCTCCCTTTTCATTTCTGATTTTGTTAATTTGGGTGCTCTCTCTTTGCCTTTTGGTTAATTTGGCTAGGGGTTTGTCTATCTTGTTGATTTTTTCAAAGAACCAACTCTTTGTTTCACTGATTTTTTTGTATTGTTCTCTTGTTTTCTATTTCGTTGATTTCAGCCCTCAATTTGATTATTTCCTGGCATCTATTTCTCCTGGGTGAGTTTGTTTCTTTTTGTTCTAGAGTTTTCAGTTGTGCTGTTAAGTCATTGGCATAAGATTTCTCTGTTTTCTTTATGTGTGCATTTAGAGCTGTGAATTTTCCTCTTAGCACTGCTTTCATAGTGTTCCATAAGTTTGGGTATGTTGTACTTTCATTTTCATTGAATTCTAGGAAATCTTTAATTTCTTTCTTTATTTCTTCCTTGACCCATTGGTGTTTCAGGTGGGCATTATTCAATTTCCATGAGATTGTAGGCTTTCTATAATTTCTGTTGTTGTTGAAATCTAACTTTAAGGCATGGTGGTCTGATAAGATACAGGAGGTTATTCCAATGTATTTGTATCTGTTGAGATTTGCTTTGTGACCAAGCATGTGGTCAATTTTTGAGACGGTTCCATGGGGTGCTGAGAAGAAGGTATATTCTTTTGTGTTAGGATGGAATGTTCTGTAGATATCTATTAAGTCCATTGAGTCATAACATCTGTTAGGTCCTTTATTTGTTTGTTAAGTTTCAGTCTGGTAGATCTGTCTTTTGTTAAGAGTGGTGTGTTGAAATCTCCCACTACTAATGTGTGGGGTTTGATGTGCGATTTAAGCTTTAGTAATGTTTCTTTTATGAATGTGGGTGCCTTTGTAATTGGGGCATAAATGTTCAGAATTGAGACTTCATCTTGGTGGATTTTTCCTGTGATAAATATGTAATGTCCATCCTGATCTCTTTTGATTGATTTTAGTTTGAAGTATATTTTATTAGATATTAGGATAGCTACACCAGCTTGCTTCTTAGGTCCATTTGATTGGAAAGCCTTTTCCCAGCCCTTTACTCTGAGGTAGTGTCTGTCTTTGAAGTTAAGGTGTGTTTCTTATATGCAGCCGAAGGATGGATCCTGTTTTCTTATCCATTCTGTTAGTCTGTATCTTTTTTATAGGTGAGTTGAGACCATTGATATTGATGGATATTAATGACCAATGATTGTTAATTCCTGGGTGTTTTTGGTAGTGTTGCATTTTCCTTCTTTGGTATTTGTTGGTGTGGATTATCTATTGCTTGAGTTTTCATGGGTGTGTTTAGCTTCTTTAGGTTGGATTTTTCCTTTTAGTGCTTTCTGTAGGCCTGGATTTGTGGATAGGTATTATTTAAATCTGGTTTTATCAGGGAATATTTTGTTTCCTCTGTCTATGGTGATTGAGAATTTTGCTGGGTATAATAGTCTGGGTTGGCATCGGTGGTCTCTTAGTGTCTGCATAACATTTGTCCAGGACCTTCTAGCTTTCATAGTCTCTATTTAGAAGTCTGGTGCTATTCTGATGGGTCTGCCTTTATATGTTACTTGGTCTTTTTCCTTTGCGGCTCTTAATATTTTTTTTTTTGTTCTGTATGTTTAGTGTTTTGATTATTATGTAGCGAGGGGACTCTTTTTTTTGGATCCAGCCTATTCGGTGTTCTGTAAGCTTCTTGTATCTTCATAGGTATTTCTTTCTTTAGGTTAGGAAAGTTTTCTTCTATGATTTTGTTGAATATATTTTCTGTGCCTTTGAGTTGGTATTCTTCTCCTTCTTCTATCCCTATTATTCTTAGGTTTGGTCTTTTCATGGTGTCCCAAATTTCTTGGACGTTTTGTGTTACGACTTTTTTGTCTTTAGTGTTTTCTTTGACGAATCTATTTTCTCTATTGTGTCTTCAGTGTCAGAGATTCTCTGTTCCAGTTCTTGCATTCTGTTGGTTATGCTTGTTTCTGTAGTTCCTGTTCGTTTAGTCAGGATTTCTATTTCCAGCATTCCCTCAGTTTGTGTTTTCTTTATTGTCTCAATTTCAATTTTCAAGTCTTGAATTGTTTCCTTCATCTGTTTACTTTTTCTTGGCTTTCTTTGATTTCTTCCAATTTTTTGTTTGTTTTTTCTTCCATTTCTTTAAGGGAATTTTTTTTATTTCCTCTTTAATGGACTTTTTCATTTCCTCTTTAATGGAGTTTTTCATTTCCTCTTTAAAGGTCTCTATCATCTTCTTAAAGTCATTTTTAGGATTGATTTCTTCTGCTTCTTCTGCCTTGGTATGTTCAGGTCTTGCAGGTGTAGAATCGCTAGGTTCTGATGTTGTCATATAGGTCTTTATGTTGTTGCCTGTATTTTTGCACTGGCCTCTACTCATCTCTTCCTCTGTTCGGTGTAGGTGGTGTCTGTGTCTGAAGGTGCCTCTCGTTCTAATTGTTAGTCTTGGTCCACTAGGCGTTCTTGGTTAAATCAGTGCTGTTGGGCTCTGTTTCTTTGGGAGCAGCTTAGTCCAATCAGTGTTAGTGGGTTCTGTCTCAGGGAGCAGTTGTTCCCAATTGGTGCAGGGTGTGCTTATGGTTTCAGTGGTTGTTAGGTTCATAGGGTTTTTTTTTTTTTTTTTTTTTTTTTTTTTGGTGAGGGAGCAGGGAAAGGTAGCTGTCTGGTCACTAGGGCTCCGATGGGTAGGGCCTAGGGGCTAGAGACCTGCTCTTCCGGTCTGGAGATGGGGCTTACCTGTTCCCAGTCGGTGTAGTGTAGGCTTATGATTCTGGTGATCTGGTTCAGTGGCTGGGCAGTGCCTTCTTTTGTGTTCTCAGGTCACGTTTTGCTCATTTTTCAACTCCTCAGCTGATCTGTTTCCTCAGTTGGAGGAGAACACAGGAGGAAGGCCATGTTTCCTCAAACTGCAGACTGTAGAATTCTGAATCCTCTCCTGAATGGATCTCAGCTGAGCAAGTTGTTTTCACTAGTAAATCTTCACTCCTCCACTTTCTTTTATAAACTCCTGTAGATGTAATTCCATGTCTTATCCTGGTAGAGACAATGTTACCACTGGAGGATGTCTTTCTCTAGGACTGAATTTCACCAGGAGATGGCTGCTTTAAGGACAGATTTAGACACAGTGGCTGGAGGCTGGAGCGTTTGTGACTCTCCTCCACACCACAGGTACAGCTTCCTCTGAGTCTTGCTGGCAAATCTCCTCTTGAACCTACTTTTAAAGAGCAACTTGTTTAAAATGTTTTACATTTAGTTTATTGATACAAGTTTAAACTTAATTTTGTTATACTGTATATATATTCTACTCTCATTTGAGGTATTATGTTTATGTAACTCATTTAGATTATAATGGATAATTAAGAAATACAGATTAATAATCAGTCTTCTATGATAGTCAAACTTGTAGCATGTTAGTTAAGTTTTCTAGGTATACATAGATATATTTCAGATAGATAGGTAATCTTCAAACACTTCAAAGACCTACAGACTATGGCATTTGAAATATTTTTAAAAATTTAGACTTTCTGGACAATGAGACATGTCTGCTCCTGGCAGCACTGATTTACTTCAGAGAGGAGGATGGGCATTGAAGACACTTTATATGGAGTTTATCTTCTTCTTGGCAAAAATAGTCATTTGGGCAAGTAACTGTTCTTGCCTGGACTGCTTGATCGACTGGACATGCAAAACCCACAGGATGGTGACCACTGAACTTTGCTTGGCAAAATGATCCTTCAGGTTCCTGCTTTGCAGAGGAAACTGCCAGACATTCTACAGGACACAGAGAAAAGTGACTGAGAGACTCAAGGCCTGTGGGCTGAAGACTGATGCCTCAACTTTACAGAGGAACTCTGGATGACTTCCAGGCTGCCAGCTGTCTCTGTCTACTCCTGCAAGACTCCTGAAAGTTGCTTGTGTCCTTCTCCCGTTTCTCAGGTAATATTATATCCTTCTGAGGTCTTTGATGTAGCTGAAGAATAGATAGTTATAATTTCCTTAGTTATGATAAGAGATAAGTTAGATATGAAACCTTAGACTCACAAATATAAGATAGATAGGATATCTTCTTTAATTTTGCCAAGATGAAATAGACTAGATAGTATAGACTAGATATTGTAACTATAATTCTTGCTTGATAATTGTTTTGTTATATGTAATTTTACTATGTGAAAGTTAAAACCTTCCTTTTTGAAAAAAAAAAGGGGAAGTGCTGTGGATATCACTCTGTATAAATAAAATGCTGATTGGCCAGTAGCCAGACAGGAAGTATAAGCGGGACAAGCAGAGAAGAGAATTCTGGGAACAGGAAGGCTGAGTCAGGAGATGCTGCCAGCCACCACCATGAGTACCAACATTTAAGATACTGGTAAGCCAGGAGCCATGTGGCAAGGTATAGATTTATAGAAATGGGTTAATTTAAGATGTAAGAACTAGATAGCTAGAAGCCTGAGCCATTAGGCCAAACGGTTTAAATAATGTAAAAGTCTGTGTATTTATTTTATAACTGGGCTATGAGACTGCCAGGGATTGGAGAGTTTCTCTCCAGCTACACATCCCCACAGTGACACACTTCCTCCAACAAGGCCACACCTACTCCAACAAAGCCACACCTCCTGATAGTACCACTCCCTTTGGGGACCATTTTCTTACAAAGCACCACAGTATAATAAACTCTGAAGGTGGCAAGAGCAAGAATCTACAAAAACAGGTTAACAGAGGAGCTTTACAACATGGCACATGGCCTTGGCTAACAATGATGGGTTGCAGGCCTGGGATTCTGCCTCTGAAGTCCCAGCTGGTGCTTGGTGCAAAGGGGATTCTCACGTTCACCTGGCAGCCATCCCTGGTGATACCAATGCAGCTCATCTGCAGAGCCTGAAGGCCTCCTCACAGGGGACAAGGTTTGTTCTCACTTCTTGCCTCTCTGTCCCCTGCAGTGTGCTTGGAGATATGACTCTGAAACATCACTGCAAATTCTAACTTGGATGTGGCTGCCATTTTTATCTAGCTGCTTAGTTTTTTAAAAAATCCTAACTTGGGGGCTGGAGAAATGGATCAGTGGTTAAGAATACTGGGGTTCTTCCAGAGGACCTGGCTTCAATTCTCAGCAACCTTGAGCCATTAGGCCAAACAGTTTAAATAATGTAAAAGTCTGTGTGTTTATTTTATAACTGGGCTATGAGACTGCCAGGGATTGGAGAGTTTCTCTCCAGCTACACATCCCCACAGTGACACACTTCCTCCAACAAGGCCACACCTACTCCAGTTGTGAGTTGGTGGCTCACAGGATATACTCAAAATTTTTTTTTTTTTTTTTTTTTTTTTTTTTTGTTGTTGTTGTTGTTTTTCGAGACAGGGTTTCTCTGTGTAGCTTTGCGCCTTTCCTGGAACTCACTTGGTAGCCCAGGCTGGCCTCGAACTCACAGAGATCCGCCTGGCTCTGCCTCCCGAGTGCTGGGATTAAAGGCGTGCGCCACCACCGCCCGGCTATACTCAAAATTTTAAGTGTGAGATTGGGCATCATGGTACATACCTTTAATGTCACTACTCACTAGGCAGAGGCAGGTATATCTCTGAGGCCAAGCTGGTCTACACAGTGAAACCCTTTTCCAAAAACAAACAAAATTTTAAATTAGACATAAACTCTTACTGGATCCTAATTAAAAAGTAAGACATTTTAGGGACAACTGGAAAAATATGAATGTGGGCTAGATATCGTTAGGAACTTACTGTTTTTAAATATACATAAATAACCATGGCTCTGTGACTGTTTGAGAAAATTTCTACTGAATTATTTATTGGTAAGAAGCTGCATGCGGGAGGGGGGAGAACAAGGGAATCTGTGGCTGATATGTAAAATTAAATTAAATTGTAAAATAAAATTAAAAAACGAAAAAAAGCTGCATGCAATTTATTTTAAATAGTTTGGCAAAATCTGTAGAAAAACTAATATGGCAAAAATATCAAGAACAGTTGGATCAAGGTGTTTGTTTTCCAAACTTTCTGTATGCTTGGTAACTTTATAATTAGAACTTGGAAAACTGTAGAGTATTGTAAATCATTCCTCTAACTGTAGCACTTGGGAGGCCAAGGCAGGAGGATTGCTCTAAGTTCAAAGCTTGGGCTACTGGGTGAGATCCAAGCCACTCAGGACTAAGAGAGATGTATACAAATACATAAGCAAGCAAGCTTTGATTTGGGGCCTTTCCTGGACCTTTAGCCCACTTCCATTGGGAAAGCCTTCCTATTCTTCAGTAAACTGCCTGTTTTTACAATAAGATAATAAATGAAAAATGTTAGAATTGAAAAAAATTCATTGAACAAGCATGTTTTAAAAGGAATAAAAATACAAAAGAGAGAAAATTGAGCTACCAATTTTAATGGATAGGTTAACTGCCTACAAGGATAAAAATTAATTGTGGAAAAATTAAGAACTTAACTAGAGAGGAGACAGGGAATGTGAAAGAGACAAGGTATACATTTTGAAAAGCCTGTCAAATGGATAATTCCAGAAAAGAGGCTGAAGTCGTATTTATAGAAACAATTTCTAAAAACAATTCCTGAGACCACCTGCAGAATGTCTGGGAGTGTAAGCAGGAAGACCCGCTCATGGGGACACAGTCTGGGAGTCTGCTAGACATCACACACAAGCAGCCGGAGAGGAGGAGACATAAGGGACCAGGGCTGACTGTCTGTCATGGTTCGGACGGGGAGTTGCCCAGCACTTAGAGGAGTCATCCATGCCTTTTAGCTGCAGAGGCAGCATGAACAGCAGGCAGCTGGATCTGCTGAGTCTGCTGGATCCCTAGCAAAGAACAGCACTGTGACTGCTGAAAACCTGGAGCCCACAGAGGATGACAAACTCCTTTTCCCTTCCAAGGTCCTCAGCATGTTGAACTAGCCAGTGCATCTCACAATTGACACGCCCAGGAAGCTTTCCTGAGGTTCCTTTCGGGTTGCAGTTCTAGTCAAAACCGTTTTTGATCTCAACTCCTCCAGCCCCTTTGGAGTCCCAACTAAGAATCTGGCCTGGCCTTCAACCATCTATTCCGGTGGTTCTCAATCTTCATATATATAATATGTATATGATATATGTATACACACACACACACACACACACACATATATATATATATATATATTGGCTTTTCGAGACAGGGTCTCTCTGTGTAGTTCTGGCTGTCCTGGAACTTGTTTTGTAGACCAGACTAGCCTTGAACTCACAGAGATCCTCCTGCCTTTGCCTCCCGAGTGCTGGGATTAAAGGTGTGCACAACCACGCCTGGTCGATTCTCAACCTTCTTAATGCTTCGGCCCTTTAATGCAGTTCCTCATGTGTGGTGACCCCCAACCACAAAATTGTTTCGTTGTTAATTCATAACTCTAATTTTGCTACTGTTATGCATCATAATGCAAATATCTGATATGCAGGATATCTGACCCCCAAAGGAGTCATGACCCACAGGTTGAGGACTGATGTCCTATTCTTTTGCAGTCCCCAGAATGGCCCCAACACTCAGTGGATAAGCTATTAAACCTGTCAACCTGAATGTGACCTGATGGAAGGAGAGAGCTGACTTTTGCAAGTTGTCCTCTATCTTCCATGTGTACACGTTACCTGCTGCCCCTGCTGTGGGAAGTTCTGTATGTTAAATGGGTTGCTCTGATCAGTTAATAAATAAAACACTGATTGGCCAGTAGCCAGGCAGGAAGTATAGGCGGGACAAGGAGAGAGGAGAATTCTGGGAAGTGGAAGGCTGAATCAGGGAGACACTGCCAACTGCCACCATGGCAAGCAACATGTAAAAGATACCGGTAAGCCACAAGCCATGTGGCAACTTATAGATGAATAGAAATGGGTTAATTTAAGATATAAGAACAGCTAGCAAGAAGCCTGAGCCATTAGGCCAAACAGTTTAAGTAATATAAGTCTCCGTGTGTTTACTCGGTCGGGTCTGAGCAGCTGTGGGACTGGCGGGTGAGAGAGATTTGTCCTGACCATTGGTCAGGTAGGATTGGAAAACTCTAGCTACAGCCCTCCACCAGCATAAATGAATAAATGCAGTAAAATGTCTTTAAAAAGAACAAGAGCAGGGACTAGAGAGTTGGTTCAGAGGTTAAGAGCACTGGCTGCTCTTCCAGAGTTCAACTCCCAGCTCACAACCATCTATAACAAGATCTGGTGTCCTCTTCTGGCCTGCACACATACATGCAGACAGAACACTGTATACTTAAAAAAAAAAAAGAGCAAAGACAAAACATTTCAGGGGAGGGGGCTGCTGGTGTAAGCCCTGGGTTCTGATGTTTGTCCCAGGTACCAAACCCCAGGTACCATGTTTGCCTCATGCTTTTCTTTCTCCTGGTTCTAGTCCACTGGGTAGGTCCCAGGTTAGCTGAGGGCAGGTCTTGCCTATCCAGGACAGGCAGCTGCACTTGAAATAAAATAATGCTTTCCTTGGACCTCTACATATATTCCTTAATCCAGTCAAGTTTGCATGTAACATCATCACGAAGGCAGATTGGGGATATTAGGAATGACAAGGGGGCATTTGTATTGACCCTAAATGTATTAAACAAGTCATAAAAGGAAACTACAAAAAGTCTATGTCAATGTATTTGAAAACATACGAGACGCGTCAATTTTTAGAAAACATGGAACACTAATTAAAAATTGAGTAATTAAATTATTAAAATTAAAAAATGAGTAGTTCATTAACACTTTCGAAATTTGAGTTTGTAGTTTAAGACACTCATAAAATAGACCAAAAGTTAATTTTGCACAAGTGTAAGACTGGAAACTCTTTGTGAGTGAAAAGTACTGGGAATGCTTCCCAGTATGTTTGGGGTCGCCATCATCATTCTGACACTACAAGAAATACATCACAAAAAAAGGAGTGAACACCAGCATCACCCAGACCCAACCTTAAAAGCCTTAATATTTTTGCAAACAAAATATAGCAATGTATGTAACAGTGTGGCTGAATTGGATGGGTTCTAAGCACATGAGGTGTTACGCTTAATGCGCAAAAGCCTGAAAAGGAGAACACATTTGACTTATTCAAAGAATGACCTCAGCGGCCAACGGTAAGACAGATGGGGTCTGAGCCAGTCCCGGGCTGTACCTGTGAGCTGGGTGACAGTGGCACTGGGGAGGCTAGGTGGAAAGTGGTTGAGTTTGGCTCATCTACTGGAGACACATGAGGGGTCTGCAGTGAAGAGTTAGCAGGAATTGTTTCTAGATAGTTGATAACGAAATGGAATGGCCTTATCAAAGCATAGGTAATTTTCAAAATACATGTGCCGAAAGGGACTGGACCTTCCACCCCAATAGCATGTTCTATTTCTTTTAAATTAGTGAATTCAAACAGAACTTCGTAGTGACAGAAAAGAGTGGTTGCCCAGGGACACGGGAGGAGACAACGGTGACAGGTGGGAGGAGCATGTCAGGGTGATGGGCTTATTTGTTGACATGCAGTGAGCTTCAGTGTATGTGCTCACTCAGATATGTGCCCACGTCTCCTCCTCCCCCAGGAGCTGTAAGAGGCAGGTCGCAGTGGCTTTATTCTGGTTTAGTCTGAGATGGGAGAGATACTGCTGGGAATGCTTTCACAGACACAGGAAGAAAGGTGTCTGGAACTAGGGAAGTGATCTAGGATTCACAGAAACCTTTTCATGTTTTATTAGGACTGGTTGCTAAAACAAAGCCCTTTAATAGCATTCTTCCCCTAGGTGTTCTATTGGCCACACACTTAAACTATCCGGATAGGACCGAGATCACCTGGTTCAGGGCTCTGTGAGGACAGGCCAATACCTAGGTTGTGCTTTCTGTTTGTGGGGCATTGTGGTGGCCCACAGAGGCTATCTAGTGAGACCTTACTCGAGGTCTGAGAATCTGAGCTTGCTTTACCCAGCAGGGCTGAGTAAGGAGATTTGGCCATGGGTGTGTTTACCAGGTGTTTGGAAGGGTCTACATTTGGCTGTATGGTGTGCTATGATCTTGCAAGGGGGAGGTCTTTTGCTTCTCCCCTTGGCATATTATAAAAATCCCGCCGGGCGGTGGTGGCGCACGCCTTTAATCCCAGCACTTGGGAGGCAGAGCCAGGTGGATCTCTGTGAGTTCGAGGCCAGCCTGGGCTACCAAGTGAGTTCCAGGAAAAGGCGCAAAGCTACACAGAGAAACCCTGTCTCGAAAAAAACCAAAAAAAAAAAAAAAAAAAAAAAAAAAAAAAAAATCCCTTTTGAATGAACAACTGAGCGGCTGGGTATTGACCCAGGGCCTTCCCCAAGCTATCCTGTGTCTCTGTCTTTCTTATCATCTTTATCATTTCCTCATTCCTCTCTCCCCCACCCAAGAACCCTTCAAAAGGTGGGAGCAGGTCGGAGCTGGACTCTGGCGGACTCCCACAGGCCATTGCTCTAGAACTAAGGTGGCCAGGTCTCATGGCACACATGAAAAGTTCTCTTGCCCAGAAGCACCATACTGTACTTTTTTTTTTTTTAGTTCAAACGTTCACTAGCGGCAGGGTAAAATGTAGCAGGAGGAACCAAACTTAAGGCTTGGGAGAGAAGGGTGAGAAATGCTCACAGGAAAAGCCACACGCTGCTGGCAGTAAATGGTAAGAAAAGGATGATCGGGGTGACCCCTAGTCAGTTTTCTTTGGACTCTGGTCTGCTTCTGAGGTCCTGGAAATACCTGCTTCAGATCAGACTGTGTCTGTGCTTTAGGCAAGATCATGAGAAAAGCAGCCACGGTGTGTTGTCAAGGCCCTTGCTTCCCCTCAATTTTCCTGACATGAGGTAAGTGCTTTCTAGGAGGGATGCTATGAAGAATCAATTCTGTAAGACCGGGGCACTGCAGCTGCCCACACACCCTAGCCCAGCACACAGAACAGTAACCGCAATAGTTCATTTTGGCTCCATTAAAAAGACCACGTCATCCAAACAACAGACTGGTGTGACTTTTACATGCTGTGAGTGAACCTTTTCGGCTTGGACTTTTAATCAGCTGTATTACTGTATGGCTTATTGGGTTAGTTAACGTACTTACTGTCTCTGACTTTTTCCTTTCCCCCTTCATCCTGATTTACTCATTTATTTCCTCACCTTACATATATTTCTTATTAAATTGTTTCAAATCCTTCTCACAGTCAAATAGGATACAAGTTCACATATACGTACAATTCGAGTAGAGTCATATACATAGAAAATAAATTATATGTATGTCTGTGTGTGGGTTTGTACATGAGTGCACTGCCTTCAGAGGCCAAAAGAGGTTGTTAGATCCCTTGAAACTCAAGTTACAGGTGGTTGCAAGCAAGCCAGAATGGGTGCTGGGACCTGAACTTGGTCCCCTGTTAACAATACCTGCTCTGAACCATTGAGCCATCTCCCCAGCTCCCACCCTCTCACCCCCACAGTAAGGTTTTCTCAGCCAATGTCCGCCTTTAGCCCTAGTGCATATGAAATACATTTCCATATAGTTCCCCCTGAACGCAAGGATATACCTAGTGGGTACAACTACAAGCAGGACAGAAGAACAGTGAGAGTTTCAAGCCCTCAGATCTGCTGAAACCCACGTGGCCTTCAGCAAATTTCTTAACTTCTTTCAATTAGTTTCAGGGGCTAGAGAGATGGCTCAGAGGTTAAGAGCATTGACTGTTCTTCCAGAGGTCCTGAGTTCAATTCCCAGCAACCACATGGTGGTTCACAACCATCTATGAGATCCGATGCCCTCTTCTGGCCTGCAGGCAAATATACAGACAGCACACTGTATACATAATAAATAAAAACTTTAAAAAAATGTGGCAATCAACTTCTTTCAATTAGTTTCTTCACCTGTTCAGTGACAGCTCCCAGGGCTGACTGCCGGAAGGACTGGAGACACTCTCTATGAAGGACTACATATTTACTTAAAAACGTGTGTTAGTGCTAGTAATCACTGTTGGTCACTGGCTGGCACTGGCTGGCAGATCTTGGCTGTACGTCCTTGTTTTCTGTTAACTTGAGATTCTGCCCAGTTCAACATCCCTGCCACTATGCCTGCAACTCTAGCTTTCCCAAGGCTGAGGCAGGATCATGAGTGGCAGGCCAGCTTGCATACACAGTGCAATCCTGCTTTATAAAAACAATTATGATTTAAAAAATAGCTTGTGTATGCCTGCATGAGAGTGTGTGGGTGTACATGCCAGGATGTTCCTGTGGAGTCAGTTCTGAGACTCAAACTCCAGTCATCAGGATTGTGTGGCAAGTGCCTTTTCTCAGTGATTTTTCTTTTAAACTATCTTTCAATTCAGCTTCTAAGCCTGCCTGAGATTTCTTTTCCAGTGACAAACACGCACATGAACTACCTGATTTTTTTTCTCCCTTTGTAACCTGGTTCTTACCTGCAAAGACTTTCACCATCCCTGCCTGTTAAAATGTAACCATTTCCCAAGACTCACTTCAAAAGCCTCTTTCCTACTTTTTCACTTGTAACCAATCTTGTTTTCAAAAATCTACTCTGGTACATTGTTTTAAAAGAATATATTATTATGTGTGGGGCCTGGGTAACACAGCACACATGTGGGGAGACTCTGGAGTCAGTGTCACCTGGGTTCACGGACTCCAGCTGCTAGGCCTTCCGGAAGAATTCTTTACCCCCACTAAGCCATCTCCTTAGCCCAAGACTTTTTTTTTTTTTCCGAGACAGGGTTTCTCCATGTAGCTTTGGAGTCTGTCCTGAACTCGCTCTGTAGACCAGGCTGGCCTTGAACTCAGGGATCTGCCTGGCTCTGTCTCCCTAAGATTAAAGTCGTGCACCACCACCGCCCAGCTGCCCAAGATTTTTAAAACTCCTATTTTACCATTTGAGCTAATATCTGGTTTGTCTTCAGATCTTACTAATCTTTGACTTTTAAAGCATTTATTCTCGTTTTGTGTCTTTCTTGTTCCATCACCCGGGCTCTAATTGTTCAGCTTGTAGACTTACTTATTTTTGTATGCCTCAGGTAAACATGGCCTATTACTTTGAACTACCCCACTAAGAATTCTGAGGTCATATAATACTTCTAGCTTACAGATCTTTTTTTTTTTTTTTTTCCCCTTCACATTTTGACACAAGGTCTCATTTAAGCCTGGAACTTACCATACAGCCTAGGTTAGCTTCAACTTTATATTACAGTTTTTCCGATCTTGGGATTAAAGGCGAGTCACCACACTCTTGCTAGATACTCGATTCTCAACCTGGCTTCATTCAGTCTGTCCTGCTGTGACTATATCACTGGTCGGAGTTAAAACAGACAAGGCGGCACCCCCGACCCGGTAAACTTCCAGGCTAAAATGGAGCCTATGAGAGAGAGGTGCATCGCTGAAGGCAGCCGGCTGCCGGTAGTCCACGGGCATCTCTGTGGGTAGGTTTTCCTTCCCCGGCCTTTCGTCCCTCCGTTGAAGGTCTGGGCAGGGCACGCTTAAAAAGGAGTCCGGAGTAGAAAGATGTGCTGGGGCACTTGGCCTGCTTGGGATCAGAGGTGACCGTCAACTCAAGTGACATAGGCAGGCGCATGACAACCAAACCACACTCGGACCCTTGCCTTTCCCTGGGGTGGGGGTGGGCGTGGGTGCAGGGATGGGAGGGTTGATGTCCGCGCCGGCCTCGGAGGTCCCGGGGTGGAGACAGAGTCGGCGACACCGAGGGGCCTCCGAGGCCGAGTGCACATCCAGGCCGCCGGCCCGCAGGCCTCCGAGGCCGGCCGCTCGCCGAGCCCGGTGACGCCGCCGCAGCCGCCGCAGCCGCCGCCGCCTGGCTGGCTGGCCGCGCATGCGCGCAACGGCGCCCCCGCCCCCACTGCCCGCTCCCAACGCCCCCGCCGCGGCCCGCGGGCCATGGAACCCGCCGAGGCCGGCGCGGTCCGAGCGCTGCTGCCCGAGCGTCCGGGCGCCGTAGCCCTGTGAGCCCGGCGGGCTGGGTCCGGCCGGTGCCGCCGCCGCCAGCCCGCCCGCCCGCCCGCCGGCCGGCCCGCCGGTGCCGCGCGTGCGCGCCCCGCCGAGCGAGAGCGCGAGTGAGGAGGGGTGGGCCGCCGCGACGATGCCGCGGGGCCGCCCCCCGAAGTCCCGGGACGGCGCGGCGCGCGGCGACTCCGGTAAGGCCCGCGGCGGCCACCGAGTCCCCGGATGGGCGCGGGGTGCGCCGGGAGCGGCGCGGAGGGCGGGCGGCAGCGACTGGCCGGGCGGGCGCAGCGCTGGGCGGACGGATACGGGCGCCGCGGCCGGGCCCCTCCGCGCTGGGCCTACTTTCCGGGCCGTGGCGGCGCGGGGGCGGCGGCGCGGGCGGCGGCTTCCTCCTCCTCCTCCTCCTCCTGCTCCTCCCGAGTTCCTGTCGGCTCCCTCCCCGAGCCCCTCGCTCCGCGCCTTCGGAGTCTCAGCCCTGCGAATCCCCTCGCCGTCCTCCCGAGTCCCGATCCTCCAGCCTCCCTCCCGTGTCGCCGGCTCAGCTCCGCGTCGTCGTGGTCCCCTCAGTCTCCTCCCTCCCTCCCTCCATGTCTCCCTGTCCCTTCCGCCCGTCCCCTGCCCGCCTCGGCCGTCCTCGGCACAGGCCCGAGGGAGTGCCCGCTCTTCCGGTGTGTCCCTGGTTCCGCGTTTCTAAGGGACCCCGGCCCGGCAGGGACCGGGGGGGGGCCTCGGAGACCGCGGGGAGTGCGCACAGTAGGCTCCCCTGCGCACAGTAGGCCTCGGGGAGCACTGCTCTCCGACTTGTATGCCTCGCTGGCTGAATTCGTGTGAGATAACTCAGGTCTGTCCCTTCAGGAAGGAGAAGTGCACAGTTTTTTTTTTTTTACAGCGGGCAAAGTGATGGGGAACATGTCACCCGCACCGTCGCCTCCCTCAGCCTGGTGCTTAGTGGGGGCCCCTCCTCCAGCGCGAGGAGGAGGAGGAGGAGGAGGAGGAGGAGGAGGAGGAGGAGGAGGAGGAGGAGGAGGAGGAGGAAGCAGGCATCCATTGCCACAGCGTTCTTTTGAGATGGGATGGGGGTCATCGGGTGGAGAGGCACAGAGCTCGGCTGTACGAGCCAGGGTTTCGTGTCAGTCTTGGGAGATACCTGCCCTGGAGTCCCAGCGTTTGTGGTCCCGAAGCAGCCCTGGGCGGTTTGTGCAGTCAAGCTGGCTGGGAAAGGACCCTGCTTGGGTGCTGGGAAGGCGGTGCCTGTCTGGGACGCAATGGAAGGTGAATCGCCCCAACTTCTATTATGTTGCTGCTTGGTGACTCAGGGTTTGACTGTCCTTGGGGATGAGTGCCCTGAGGTTCCAGAGCTGTCATCAAGGAGCCCAGGTGCAGACGCCCACGCTCAGATCGGCTCTGCACCTACAAAGGACCGTGCTAAGTTGGTCCTTTGGGAGAAAGGGGTGAGGAGTTGGCATCAGTTCGAGCTTGGGAACAGGACACCCAACTAGAAGTTTCTACTTAGTACTGCTGTTGCTCTTGACAAAGTCAACAGGCGTGTCAATTAGGTCAGTATGAACACTGTTGATGAACTACAGCCGGCGATTTCGCACTTAGTGTTTTCGTGGACTGCTTGGATGGAGCAGTGATGGCTGTATGGTAATGTTAGGTGTGAAGACCTGTGGTTGAGAATAATTGAGTAATTGCTCAGGATATTCATCAATGGCTGATGCCTGACTGCTTTGGCCTTGGCCATATTTTCATAGGGGTGTGTGTGTGTGTGCTCCTGTGTTTATGGTGTTTTTGATAACATGTTTTATGCTAATAATGTAAGGTGCAGTGTGGAAGCAGGCTTAGAGAGAAAGAATGTAACGTTTCCTTTGAGACAAGGCTGAGAATTCACTTCTCTCCCAGCACTCTACATTTTACCAGATGGTACCACTGTCCACAAAGGACCAAATTTAAGAATAATTCTGTTTCTCTTGTTTTCCAAGACATTCCATAACTAAGTCTTTAAAATTTTTTAATTACATTTTTCTTTTTGTGTATGTTTGTTAGCAAGTTCTTTTTTCCACACTGGGCCACCTCTCCAGCTCCATAGCTAACTTGGTAGCTGCTTCCTCACAACTGGGTTTGCAGTCTACCACACCTTTCCAAGGTATCCACAAGTCCAAAGGTGGGGCTTTAAAACTGGACTCTGCTGTCCATCACTTCCAGTCTCTCACATCTCACTGTGGATGATCTTTTCAAACGTAACCTAGGGCCACAGCCTGGTAAACTTCCGAGTAGGTCAAAGCACACACTCCCCAGACCTCGGGGCTTCAGTCTTCAGCTCTCTTGACTCTGGCACTAGCCTTTGCTGCTCTCCTTGATGGTGCCAATTTTTTTTTTTTTAACTTTTGTTCTTTGCTTTTGGCCTTTTTGATCCCCTCCTTCGAGAGACCATCTTCTTTTACTGTGTACCCCAAGTGTTGGGGCTTCATCAGAGAGACACCTTACCAGTTAGGCTCACCACAGTGGTTCTCAGATTGTGGTACTTAGACCCTGGAGGGCTCCTTGAGGTGCTTTCAGAAGTATGTAAGACAATTTTTTTTTTTTTTTTGGTTTATTCGAGACAGGGTTTCCCTGTGTAGCTTTGCGCCTTTCCTGGAACTCACTCTGTAGCCCAGGTGGGCCTCGAACTCATAGAGATCCGCCTGGCTCTGCCTCCCGAGTGCTGGGATTAAAGGCATGCGCCGCTGCCGCCGCCGCCGCCACCACCACCGCCCGGCGACAAATATTTTTATGGTGTTATTAAGAGTATTTGGCTCTCTCACTTGGCTAACATGTATGTGTGTTAGTTATATGAAAGCAGCTGTGGGTATAACTGAAGCCAACAGCATACGGTATTCTGGTGGTGTACCAGACCCGTGTGACTGTGGTGCCACACATCCAGCTCCACTCTCCACAGAAGGGAGCGTGCGGAGGCAGATAAGAGAATCCAGCTTTACTTTTTTTTTTTTTTTTTGGTTTTTCGAGACAGGGTTTCTCTGTGTAGCTTTGCGCCTTTCCTGGAACTCGCTTTGGAGACCAGGCTGGCCTCGAACTCATTTAAAGTCAGACATTAAAAGCTTTGTAAGCTAGGCACGGTGGTACACGCCTTTAATCCCAGCAGTTGGGCAGTAGAGGTAGGTAGGTTTCTAAGTTTCAGGCCCCTCAGGGGGATATATAGTTAGACTCTGCTTAAAAAAGGAACACAAAAGATTTGTAAGTAATTTTGTAAAAAATGTATTAGTTAACGGGCAACAAACTGATTTAAAAGAACTTAGGTTTATTTTATTTGATGTTTATGAGTGCTTTGCTTACATGTATGCATGTGCACAACGTGCATGCCTGGTGTTTGGAGATGAGAAGCAGGTCCTGTACAAGAGCAGTAAGTGCTCTTAACTGCTGAGCCCTCTCCAGCCTCCTGATTATTGTATGTTTTTGAGGAAGAGTCTCACACTAGGCCAGGCTGGTGAGGTAGTTCACATGGGCTCAAATTCATGGCCTTCCTCTTGTCTTCTCCACCAACTGTTGGGATTAGATATGAGCCACCACATTCAATTTAAAGATTAGTTTAGCTTTCTATAAGGATAGATACTACACCAGGTGGTGGCGGCTCATGTCTTTAATCCCAGCACTCGGCAGGCAGAGCCAGGCAGATCTGTGAGTTCAAGGCCAGCCTGGTCTACAGAGCGAGAGCCAGTACAGGCACCAAAACTACACAGAGAAACCCTATCTCGAAAAACTAAAAAAAAAGGGTAGATATTAATGTGTGTAATTGCAGGTCTTGGGGTCCTTGTTAATATTTAAGATATATATATATATATATAAAAGATGCTTGAGGACCGTTGCTGTCAGTCACTATCATTTTATAATCTGATGTTTTATTCAGTTTTTTGGTCACTACTTTGGGATTATTATTATTATTTATTTTTTCTCTGTGATGTTCTTGCTGGTCTGGAACTTGCTTTGTAGCCCAGGCTGGCCTCCACAGAGATCCGACTGCCTCTGCCTCCTGAATGCTGGGATTAAAGGCATGTACCACCACCGCCTGGCAGGGTTATTATTTTTTAACAGTGTCTTGCTGTGTAACCTTGACTGACCTAGAATTCCACGTTTTCTTGTCTTGGCGTGCACTATCATGCCCAGCATATTATGGACTTTAAGGGTCATTCTGAGTTTTTTGCAGTTGAGGGGAAGGAATTGAAGTTCTAGAGATTAAGTGATTTGGAAGGTGAATCCATCCAGGAGCCATGAGAGCTTGAAGATTTCTATCTGTATTGGAATCTAGAATGTCCATTTTCTTGTTCTGCTTGATAAAAACAATGACAGGTGCTATGTATTGTTCTAGGTGCTGGGGGTACAAAACGAAACCCAGAGACGTGGTCTCTGTTGTCACTCTTCAGGACAGTGTATAGGGATAGTGATGCAAATAGTAGTCTGAGTTTCCTAGAGAAAATAGTAGGAAAATTGAAGTGTCTGAAGTGACTGGCAGCAGGGCATGGTCCTGCAGTCTGTAATCCCGGCGGCGTTTGGATGGTAGAGACAGTAGGATTAGGTTCAAGGCCACTCCTAGCTACAGGGTGAGTTCAAGCTCAGTCCAGGCTACCTGAAACCTTATCTCAAAAGCACACAAAAACTAAAACCAAAAAAGGAATGTTTACCAACAAAACCACACTCCTGAAGTAAGATTAGGGTATATAGATAAAGAACTCAGCCCTGCTAGGTGTGGTGGTGTACAACCCTTGTTCTTAGCACTTGAGAGGCAGAGACAGGCAGTCTCTGTGGTTTCTAGGACAGCCTGATCTACAGAGCAAGTTCCAGGCC